GAGTTTGATTTCAGATCTGCAGAACAGGCTACACTTGAAAATTCTGCAAGCCCTGCCATCAGGTGACAGCAGGGGACGAGAGAGACCAACATGAAACAGCGGGTTTTTAACAGTGGATGAAGTGAGAGGCTTCATAATTGATTCATTACAATTCTCTTTTGAACTGTGGTTCGATTAAGGCGGTTAGTGTTGAAAATCAAATGATGAAGAAGGTTACACGCCTAATGGGTCACGGCGATAAGGAGACGCATTGGATTAAGGTTCTTTTTCTCACCTATTGCATTTTAGAAATCAATGCTTGTCTTAAGGATGCATTTCAAAGGGAACTTGGACTGAAGGTCCCTCTGGCTTTTTTGCTCTAAGAAAGGGAATAAATAAACACATTTCAAATTCTAATTTGGCTTGCTTAGCAGATCCTTGATCAAACACTTTGCCAGACGAGTTGGCACAACCTTTCAGTCCTTGTGAGAATTTCAGCAGTTGAATATCTGAAGAATGACATCTTTGGTAGGGCGTGCTTCGTCTTTAGAAACTGCACAATTGAATTTGCATGGCATTGAGGTAAACATGAAAAATAAATCTTTCGTATTCATGTTTCTGAAAGGACCTCCATCGGAAAGAAATATTTTTTTTATCTCAATATATGACAAACAAAAGGTGTTTTTGAAATGAATCTGGCAAGTAGATTTTGTTTTAAGATATGCTCATTTAAATTTGTCCTTGTCTCATTGAAACCTGTTGGCGTTTATAGAGATTTATAAAATAATCAAGGTAGACATGAAGTAATGATGAGTCACTCCTACTTTCATGAAAAACCTAATTCAGTGCGAAAGCAGGAGAGAAAACAAAGATTGAAAGGGACAGTCAGACACACTGCCTTGCCTCCACTCCACACGTATAAAATGAAAACTTTTTAGTGCAGATAAAAGACTGAGGTAGGATTTTAGACAGTAGTATAAATTAAATGTAAAGCATGTCCCATCCAGCGTAATTTGAAAGATGAAGTCGCTGCTGTGTTTATTTTGATTTAATTCTAATCTATAAATTAGGCTGACACCGTCTCCACTTTATCCTCAGGGCACAGTCAATATGTAATCTTAAAAGGTAAAATTAGAGGACTTGATCTGGATTTTAATCAATTCGAGTCAATCATTTTCTCCTGGGAGATGACATGCTGGAGGGCTCAAAACCAATTTGAAAGATACAACAAAAACTAGCAACTTTTAAGCTGTTCCATTTTATCATTGCTTATTTGAGACAATGGAATTGAAAAATAAAAAAAAGTCAAACGGTGGAAGTTGCTGCATTTGAAGCAGACAGACTAATAGGGTCAGGTTCCATCCTAGCGGCTCAACTTGTTTTATAGTCTTGCAACCAAAGAAAGAACAACTCATCATCTAATTGCAAAAAAAAAAGAAACTAAAGATACAAAAGTAGCCTGTATCAATCATGACAACTATGTGCTTTCCTCACTTCCCCTCTCTTTTATACCTCATTGCTTTTTTCACCTCTCTTCCCCTGCCTTGTTTCCCCCTGACAACCCTTGTCACTCTTCATGTTCTCACTCTTATCTCAATCTCCTACTTACACACTCCATCCTTCTGCCCCACTTCATTTTCGTAGCTTCCATCCTTCCTCTATTAAGAGAGGTGCTGCAGACGCGGTGCTGTCTGGTTTACACAATAGCCCTTCTGTCCGCCCTGCTGTTTACCTGTTTTCACACAGCCCCTCGCTGTGTTTAGTGATGCAGACCTCCACACAAGAGGGGGGAAAAAATGTTGCTCTCACAGAGGTTCCTTTGTTTTTCTAAAGATCTGTAAGAATGAGGAAGTATTATCCTGGAAACAAATAAGCATGCCGGCTTGATGCAATATCGAAGGCAAATCATGACTTATCACATCTTTGTGGGTGAGAGAGTAAATGTACGACGTGATGAAAGAAACATGAAAGACACACACACTGCAGTCCAAGAATTGGGGCAGCGATAAATTCTTCATTGCTTTGGTTCTGCAATAGCACAATGGATTTCAAATGGAAAACACCACCAGGTTTAAGGGCTCACATTCTGTTATAATACACGGTTTTCTAGGTTGCTGGTGGCAGTTTCGAGTCAAATATTCTGTCCTTTGCGGCTGGATGGAAAGAAAAAAAAGAAGTAAAAATCAGTATGCGCACGCACAATGGAAACTTCACAAGACCATGTGAGGTTTCCATTACTTCACGTGGTTATGTCAATTCAACAGCGGTTCAAGCTAAATATCTCCCCCCACGTCATGGTGTGTGATCAATACCCCATAGGTCACTAAAAGTCTGACCAATGTTATCGTCAATCTTTATCATTAAACTCTAAACACACTAAATAAGGGAGACGATGACATAAAGGAAGACAAACTTTAAAACAAAACAGGGAAGTCTGTGGTAATACAGTTATTAGAGGAACTTAGAGTGTGTGACAGCAAGAGGGGCATTTAATGTCACTTACTGTTAAAAGGTCGTGATGGTCACAGTCTTTTTACACAGAGCCTGAATAAAAACATCCAAAATCTTTCTGCTCTCGACATGCTTTTATATACAAGCCTGAGCGTGACATAAAAAGTATTATGTAGTCACCTCATAGATCAGTTCTGTGGAAATTAAAATATTTATGATTACATAAGAGAAAATGATGCCATTATCCCCTGTAGTTCAGTGCTTGTAGGCTGGTGTGCAGCCGTCTCTGTGTCTGGATGTAAAAAGGTAAAAGCCCACGCAGAGGATTCAGATTTTCAAAAAAATAAAAGAAACAGCTTTTTGTCTGTACTCCTCTTTAATTACATACTATCAAATACTAAAATGCAGGGGGGGTAATAATCTAATGCTGTAGAAGAAGCCATCAGCTTAGCAGTTTATCATTTAAAGAGCTGGGAAAAGTGGAGCAGTTAAAAATTACTCTCAGAATAGAAACACTGCCCACATTATCAGGAGTGCTAACATTTAGACAGCATTGGAGACTTTGAGTGGAGATTATCAATTTTAGCACCACACAGAAACAAGCTTCTCTAAAGAAGCTCAGTATATGGACACAAACTAGATACCGTACAATGTATGATGTATGATAAAAGAAGTCAAAATATGCACATCATTTTAAGAGTATCAGAATAACCTGGATAAACTTATAATGCTTGACTGAAGAAGTAACGAATATAACTTTTTATTTTATTTGGGAGTTTTTGTTCAGCTATTTAACAAAATACATTAAATTAACAGAAATACAAAGAATTCTTTTAGCAAATTCTATAAATATTTTTTGCTCGTTTATTATTATTATATAACTTGTTTTTTCATGTACAATGTGTTTTTTCCTCTTAAAGTTTTAATCAAAGGGTGACGCAATATATATATCAAAGAGGATGTCTCTGGCATTGAATAGTTAAGTATAAAATGATGTTTTACTTTCATTTCAGGTTTCACTCACATGGTCATTAGTGAGCCATTATACAACAGTAACGACTCATTTAAGTTAGAGGTTATTGCTTAAACCTGAAACACAAAATCATATTGAAATTCAAGCCAAATTGTTGAAACTCAATATGACCCTGATTAACTGGTGTGCATGTCAGAAAAGCTGTAATCACTGAAGTGAAACAAAGTACAAGTTTTATTTCCAATTAGCCCGACTGCAGGAAGCCAACAAAGTCGCATAGCTGTAGATAATAGCTGAACCGTGTCTATTTCCATGTCTGACTCACAGCTTAAAAGAAGGGAAAACACCAATAAAGATTTGTGAGTTACATATATCAGCGAAAACAACACTAAAGAAGAGGACTAACGATTGTGAGATTGAGCGCAAATATTAATATAAAAAATAGTCATTTGGACAACAGCCAGGGCTGGTAAAGAATTTTCTTTTAGAGATAGTGTTTCCTACGATTAATTCAGAATAGGTCCAATTCTTTCATTAAAAACACACTCACCTACTTTTGTCATAGCTTTCTAATGACATTTGAAAAAGTTCACTTTTAGCTCCTCAAACCATTTCCTGCCCAATCTCATCTGGTACCTGATCAACCAAACCAAATGTGCTCTTAATAAATAACGTTTGTGCCATGGAATTTGTCACATGTTAGATATTTCCTGAATCTGCAACTTCAGGCTAATGTTGTCAGACATCTGATCAACATCAGCCTCCGTCCTCGGTTTATCTTATCTCTCATTCTGACCGCAGTCAGCGGGATGAACATCAGCTGATGCCAAATTTGGCTGCTCAATGCAGAGACGTGACACTGAAAATCAAAGTTTGCAAAGGCTATCACCTTAAAATGATGCCAGAGATACAAAAGATACAGTCCCATTGGATGCAGGCAGGTCCTTCAAATTTTGCAAAGGAAAATAAGGTCACATGAGGATGATAAAGGTCCACTTGGGTGCAAAACGTTGATGGAAGGGAGATTCTAATCAAATGCAATCTGTTTTAAGGGGCTTCTAATTTTACATAAGAGCAAACACTCCTCATTTGAATTATATTGCATGAGTGTGATTACTTCTGCTGCTTACTGTTCATACACCAGGATCAGGGGCTATTATATCTCGAGCAAGAACAGCTCCAAACACGTGAGTCGCTAAGAAAAAAAATAAAAAGGAAGGCAAAAGATGAAGACAAAAACTATTTCTTCCCTGTGATTGACCGGTTTCAGGTGGGCCAGCAATCAACAATCTCTCCACTGCCTCTTAGGAGCCACTCACAGAGCAATCAGTGTCCAATAAAACACAAGCACAAGTCTGACACTGAACACTGCGTTTCAGTGCCTACTTCACATGGCGCACAGGGAGGAAAAAACATAGGATTATGGGATCCACCACTTAAAAAAAAAAAATAAAAAAAAATCACCAGTCCGGCCGAGGATCGATGAAGAACACTGACACATTTAAGACGTAGGGTCAACATTTCTATCTGTTTGGGAAGCAAAGAGGAAGCTAGCACGTAAACAAAAACTTTAGTCTGAACTAAAAAAAAAACACACTCACCAGAAGGTGCGCTGCAAAGAGTCAGAGAGCAGAACTGAACAGGAAAGATCCAGGAAACACAGAGGAAAGCCACAAAGAAAGGTTTGACAGTACCTTCAGTGGGGTTGATGGCTCCTGGTAAGCTGTCCCATGGGAGGGTCCAGGAAGGGCAAGGATGAGGAGCAAAGACAGCCTCGATGCCATTTTCCTGCGGTAGGAGAACACACCCAAACAAGCATTACCATAAAAATAATTTCTGTCTTTCAGCTTCACTGATCTAAACAGTTCAAACACAGAGATTTCTATATGACTATTTACTTGGGTACAATTAATTTAATATAATTTTTGATGGATTCATACCCAAATATAAAAATGACAAACCCTGTTGTACTTTGGAAGTTGCATTTTTTAAATCAGTCTGACATCACACAAATAGACAGAGGCTATTGTTGGATATACTTAATGGAGCTTTAAAAAAAAGCTTCACTTTCAACCAAATACACAGAAACTGTGAGAATGTATCTGATTATTTTGGAAGCAAACACTCAGCTTTTTTATACGTTTTTTGATACAATGAATAAATAAGGTGCTTGTAGCATTATTGCCTTAGGTTGAGTGACTGAAACCTGTGCATAGCACATAGAAATATTTAGTACTACCATGAAGTGCAAGAGAAATTTTCAAGGTATATAATTTCTATTATGGGTACCTGCTTATGGTCTTAATAGTCACATATGGAAATGAATGGAATATCCTATATGTCCAATATATATGCATGGCCAGTATCTAATAAAAACAATTGGTCAGTAAGCTTGAGAATTCTTTATCATGCTAGAAATACTGATGTCAAGAAATAATTAATTTTTTGATTATGAGTGAACTTCAACTAAAAATGAGGAGCACTTCCTCAGAGACGTGCTGCACTGCTTCAGGTCAGCTGGTTTTTAATTCGTTCTCTTTTTTTTTTACTTCTCAGATTAATCAGTATGCTTATGGAGGAGTTCTTTACTTGTGAGAGCTGATGGCTGAGCTTTACTAAAACTGGAAGGAGACACTGGGGCAGACTCATGGCAAAAAAGAGAGAAAGCAAGATGGAGTTTAGAGCTTCTTGTCTATGTCCTCAGGGACTGCAATGCCTCTATCTCTTCTTCACTTCCATCATCTAGATTGTTTTGTCAACTTACTTTGTCTTCCTTTGGATCTTACTTAGTAATTTTCCTTCCGTAATTTATGCTGCAGCAATATGATTTCCATTGGGGGTTTAATTAGGAATAATTCGGCTCAGCTAAGTTCCATTCTTTACCACCAGGTTTTCATAGCTGCGAAAGCCTCAAACTGTTGAAATAAGGTGCCCGGAGCTTTGAGAATTACCCAAGAGCCACAAAAGGCAAAGTTGATTGGCTCTCGACTACAATCGCTTGATCTCAGACAACATTTATGGGGCACTTAAAGGCTAACAAAGCCAAACATGTCTGACATCACCAGCAGCTTTTTGGATAATTGTCAAGTCATGCTGAGAAAACACAGGCTCAACGTTTTTACAAAGAATATTGCAGCTCACTCAATGCTGTAATTGGAACAAGCGACGGGCAGACTAAACAGTAAAAGTACACCGAAATCCAAATATGTTTTCCAGAGATCTAGGGCAGATCGTCTTCTAAAAAAAACAAAGGAAAGAAAGAAAAACAACCATCTTCAAATGTTTGGATCCAACCATTTAAATAAAGACCCTGAATGAATCATAAAGACATGTTTTCTGTGTGTGTGTGTGTGTGTGTGTGTGTGTGTGTGTGTGTGTGTGTGT